AGAAAAAATAAATAAATAAAAATGAAGAAGAAGAAGAAGAAGATACACACGTGGTCTCTTAATAATATATAAGAGAACAGACCAAACGTTTGGCGCAGGAAGTACAGAAGAACTTTCTCTTGGTCTTGCAGCAAATTGGTAGACATAAAAACCTCCATTGTGTCTCTACATCCACTGCCTCCACTTTCCCTTCACAGTATGGACATGCCCCTGTTGCTTCCTGTCTTCCTATCTCTCTCTCCTCTCCCAAACACATTCTATCTCTCTCTCTCTCAGAGCTGATTTTCTGAGCTGAGGTAGTTGCGTGTTGTATGCTGTGGTTTCTCCCACAATTCTCTCAATGGTCCATTTATTTTTCTATTTTGAGCAACCTAATAAATACTGTACTGTATACCTCACCGTGCTCTTGTCACATCAATTAGCACAATTATATATATATATATATATATATATATATATATACAAGTAATTTGTATAGAAATAAAGCAATTAACACCATTTATTTAATATTTGAAGTCATGGTTCACAGTCGTGATATCACGACAGTATTAATTGTAGTTATGATCGCAGTGTAATAGATTCGGATTAATATTAGTGTAAACGGATCGACTCAAGAAGGTGTGCATCCTTAAAAATTGATTACAAATCGGAACGAATCAGTTGAAGTATAGAGAAAATCAATTTTTTATCAAATTATTTCGTATTAGTAACTTCTTCTCTTATAATTTTATGACGTGTCATTTTGGGACAACTAGTTGCAAGTTAGCCCCCAATCCAAACAAACCAATTTTAATAAAGATAATACCATGTGGGGTGTATTGGTAATTTCACTCATTACATAAGAATGTACTGTGTTGAGCCGCCTCCACGTCGTCCACGAGGTCTTTACCTCCCCTAGTACAAACCACACCCTGATGATTACTGAACTGATAAGTGACATCTAATAAAAAAGAAGAGTGTTCTCAATATTGCCGGCTTGTTCATGTCTTTTGTTGTACATTATTATTGTATCTCATTCAAACAATTCAATTTGTTAACTCAAAATATGAATAAAAAATATCATGCAAATCAAGTCATATATATTCAAACAATTCAATTTGTGAACTCAAAATATGAATAAAAAATATCATGCATATATATATATATATATATATATATACACACACATATATGTATATGCAATTAATGTTGAACTTGAACTTCTAACGAATTTCTACAAGTTCTTGCCTAACATATGCAACCAAGAATTAAAATCATATGTCATACATTGACTAATAAGTCTCAAAGATAGCCCTAAAATATATATTTAAAAAAAAATTTGTTGTCTTTTTAATTAAATTACTACTATCAGTCTATCAAATAACACCTGAAAAAAAAATAATAATAAAAAAAAAAAAAAAAACTTGTTTGTCAAAGCCGTTGTTTTTCTTCCCAAAATTCAAAGCCGTTGCATAAGTTTCAATACCCAAAATTCATAGGATTCCTAGATGTGACATATATTTACACTCATTAATTAGTTAAACAAGAATCACGTAATTGTTTTTCTTTTCTGTTTTTATTTAAAATAAAAATATCGAAAACTCTCCTTCCCTTTAGAGAGAAGAGGTTATATCAAAGGGGACAATGGTTCGGTGGTAAGAATTGTTAAATAACCACTTGCCTAAGTCAACAAAACTTCAAATGAAAAAAAAAAAAATTGTTGCATTGATCTTCTTTGAAGTTACAATCATCTCTCTCTTGGTCGTTGGTGAAAAATGAAGGGTCGATGAATAAGGAATGCATCTCAATGGCCATTCAACAATGGACCATTAGGAATCTACGAATTTGGGGTGATATGATCTTGCTACTTCAAAAAGAGATATTGCACCATTTATCACGTTAGGTAACATGATATATCTACTTTAAAAGGTAAAGTTTTGATTTTCTTGTGTAAGTTGGTCAATAGTCACTAAAAAATAATTTAAAAAAATATAAAAAGAAAAGTGAAAGAAAAAAAAAAGAAAAGTGGTCCTAATGAACCTTTGAAGGTACAATAATTTTCCTGACATTATTAATTCATGTGATGGAGATTTAATTATTGCATATAGGTTAATCCAATGGCCCACTAAAAGGAACAACATTTTTTATATAATCTTTCCTTTCCGACAGTATAATGATTTCCCTTTAATCTGCATTATTGTCATTCAGCCTACATTATTATTAATTACTATTTTTTTTACAAATTCAATCATTCTCTTGCAAAGTAAGTTAATTTTCAAGTGAAGACGTGGACATCTTTAGTATTTTTATTTATTGAAGATATCTCTTAATTTAATCTCTCTCTTTTTTTTTCTTTTCTTTTTTTTCTTTTTTTATCTCAAAAGAGGATTACTATTCAATCTGAAATAATAACATTAATTCTGAATATAACTTCCCTACTTTATTAATATATATATATATATATATATATAAATTGTTGGATACAGTTTAGGCCTTAATAAGTAATAGCATTCAGTTTGCATGTGCATTTTTGGAACTAAAGTTATCAACTATTGTCAGCTTAACATATATATCTAAGATCGATCTCTCTCTCTCTCTCTCTCTCTCTCTCGGTTAACGCTTTGTTTGGAATCAATTATTTTAGGATTTGGAAAAGGAATCAAAATTAAAAAAGGAATTGGAATTAAAAAAGGAATTCCATTTCTATGTTTGGAACCAATTGAATTTGAGGTTGGATTTAAAAGGGAATTTGGAATAAAAATAATATTATACCATTTTTGCCCTTATTTAAATGATAAATAAAATATTTATTTTATTGTCAAATATGCTCCAAAAGTTACATCAAATAGACAAACAAAAAGAACGACTAAATGATATAACTTAAATATAAAATTTACTTATTTAACAGATCACGTAAAAAAAAAAGAGCAATTATTTTTTAATTAAAAAACTAACTTATTAAACATCACCAACATACTTAAAAAAAATCATTAAAGTAAAATAACGTTGGTAAACAGTTATATGAGAGAGTAATATGGGGTTAGTTAAATACCGTTAGAGATAGAAATATGCTAGTATATATTTAATAGGATAGGGTTAAATGGGAAGAAGACGGTTGGAGATTGAAATAGGTTAAGTAGATATTGTACAAGGTTAATTAAGATAATATCGTATTTATATTCCAAATCCCGTTAAATCCTGTCGTTTTAGATAGGATTTGAAACACATCAAAAACAGTATTTGAAATCCCATAACTTTAAAATCCCATTAACAATCCAATGATTCCAAACAGTGTAAATCCTATTTCTAAATCCAAATCCCATAAAATCCAGCATTCCAAACACAGCGTAAGTTATATTATAAAATAAAAGAACTGTACAAACGTAAAAAATAAAAAAATAAAAATAAAAAAGGCCTATAGCCAAACCCAGCCCACAAAAGAAAGTAATACAAGGCAAAACAACTACCAAAGTAAGGCAAACAATAGCCCATCCCAATCCATAATTCCAAGGCCCATGCCCAAACCAAAATTCGAACAAAAAAGACAAAGATAACCGTCAATTCTGCAAACAATCCGGAAGCGTAACCAGCAACGGCAAACAAGCCCTAGGCTTGGAGCTTAATCCGGCCGCCTCAGCGGAGGGCGACAACAGGACGGAGGGAGATGCCAGTCATGGAGAATACGTTGACTAGCAGCAAAGTTTCGAAAAATCCCTAAACTGAGTATGGAAGTAACATTATTACAAACCTTTGATTGGATTGCATTTTGGGATAAATTGGATCCTCGGAAGATGCGGGCATTTCTTTCTTCCCAAATGTGATAAACCAAGGCAAAGAAACAGAGCTTTCGCAGCAAGTTCAGAGGGGTCGATGAGGACCATTGAGTGCTAAAGACTAAAATTAAGTTCACCCAGGGGAGAATAGCAGCGTGGATGCGACATTTTATCTTGAAGAAGCTCCAAATGGGGGTAGTGAAAGAACAAGAGAAGAACAAATGTGAATGATAGATTCAGGGCTAGCATTGCAAAGGGGACAAGAGTTGTGATGGCGAGCCATGGATCTACTGTCAAGAGTTGAGAACCGTTCTTGCACTACTAACCAGAGGTTAAATTTCATTCTTGGGATTGCAGGAGAGTACCAAAAAGGTTGTACCATGGAACCTGAGGAGAAGATGGAGATAAGTAGGCTGAAGTGTGTTTAAGACTAAATTTACCTAAAAGGGATATGGACCATAGCAATTTATCATTTTCCATGCTGGATGGGGCTGGCAGGTGAAGCAATTCTGAAATCACTAAAGACAAAGAAAGTGGAAATGACCAAGAATTGTTAGATATGAAGCAGCTAACTGTAGTTGCAGTATCATATCCCACATCAAAGAGTAATTGTGATGGAAATCTAAGGCTTATGGGACCTCCAGGAAGCCAGTTATCAAACCAAAGGTTTATAAATGAGCCATTGCAAATCTGGTGCTTGATAATGAACCTAGTAGGATGTCTCAATTGTAGGAGTCTTCTCCAACTCCATGAACAAGAGTGAGGGATATCCAAAGACCATAAGTTCCTGCCTATAATAAGGTAAACCTTGCACCATTTAATCCAAATTCTGTCACTATTATTTGTCAATAAATCCCACATATATCTTATGATAACTGCATTGTTTGAGGAGACCAAATTAGGGATATTCAACCCTCCTTCCTCCTAGGACCTGTATATTGACATCCAAGCAATTTTTGCACCTGTTGATTTCATTTCTATTCCAAACCATAAAAAGGACATGAAAATTCTGTTAAGCTCATCAATAACCCCTTTAAGAAAAATGAAAATACTTGACCAATACACCTGGGTGGAGACCAAGATAGACTTTATGAGCTGTAATCTTCCTGCATATGATAAGGATCTAGAGGTCCGGTGAGTAATTCTATGTGTAATTCTTTCGATGAGAGGCCTGTAGTCAGAAAATCTAAGGCACTTGGAGATCAAAGGAACTCCTAAGTGCCTAATAGGGAGGGAACCAGAGCTTATTCATAGCAAATCTGTGATTGCAGATTCAGTGGAAGGATCCACTCCAGATAAGAAAACAGTGCTTTTGTTGAAGTTGATAGATAGACCAGACATAGTACAAAAATAGTCCATTGCAGATTTAAGAATGGAAACTGAGGTTATGTCACCATGGCAGAAGAGAAAAAGGCCATCTGCAAAGGAAATATGTGTAATGCCTAGGTCTTTACATCTCCAATAGTACTTGAACCTTGGAGCCTTAGAGACAAAGTTTTGCACAATAGAGGTAAAAGCTTATATGATTATGACAAATAAGAAAGGAGATATAGGATCACCTTGCCTCAGACCTTTCTAGCCTTTGAAAAAACCATGGAACTCACCATTAATGGCCACTGTAAAAGAAGGGGAAGAGATACAGGCATGAATGAACTTGATAAAGTTACTTGGGAACTTGAGGAGGGAGAGACAGTTGATGGTAAAGTCCCAAGTGACTGAATTAAAGTCCTTTCTAAGGTCAATCTTGATGGCATACCTTGGAGGAGGGCAATCCCTGTGGTAACCTCTAAGTAATTCATAAGTGAGCAAGACTGAATTAATGATTTTCCTGCCTTTGACAAAGGCTGTTTGGGTTTGATCAATGATGTGGGGGAGAACAAGCTGTAATTTCTTTGTAAGGAGCTTTGCAATACACTTGTAGATGGTATTACAGCAGGAAATGGGTCTGTAATCATTGAGGTATGAAGGGTTTTGGCATTTTGGGACAAGGGAGATGTAGGTGCAGTTTGCTTCACTTAGGAGTTTTCTACATCTGAAGAATACAGAAATAGCTTTAATTGTTGATCTACCTACAATGGGCCATGTTTTATGGAAAAACATAGCATTATAGCCATCTGGCCCAGGGGTTTTGTCCTTGTTCAGTAACATCATGCAATTTTGAATTTCATAGTATGATGGGATTGAGTCCAAAATGTTGTGAAAATGGATAGGGACAGCCTTGGTGATAAATATTGAGAGTTTAGTCTGGGAATAGGTGATAGGTGGAGCTGTGCTAAATAAAATCTGAAAATGTGATAAAATCTCCTCTTTAATAGCCTCTGTATCATTTATTTGAACACCATCAGCATTGGACAGGTTGAGAATCTTTTCCTTGTTGGCTCTAGAGACAATAAACTTGTGGAAGTAAGATAAGTTACTGTCAAGTTTGAGCCAAACCATTCTGGATTTCTGCCTAAACTTGTTTTCCTGTACTCCTGCAAGCTTCATGCACTCCTTTGTGAGAGAGAGGTTCAGTGATCTGAGATGAATGTCATTGGGATTATGATCAAGGTCAAGTTGGCATTTGTCAAGTTCCCATTTTACTACCTGCATCTTTGAAACCACTTCAGAGAAATCATTTCTACATTTGGACTTAAGGATGTGTTTGAGTTTTTTTAGCCTCTGAATAACTTAAAACATAGCAGTACCTGCAATATAATGGCTCCAGGTGCATTGGACAGAGGGAAGAAATTGGGGATGAGTACACCATGCATTGAAGAACCTGAAAGGTAAACACTTTTTGGGAGAGTTAGTATGGGGCTGTGGTCAGACACTCTAGGGGGAAGGAATGTGCATTCAGAGCTAGGAAGTATAGCATTCCAGTGATAATTGATGAGGGCTCTATCAAGTTTTTTTGCAATGCAAGCATTACCCAAGCTCCTATTGTTCCATGTGAAGAGAATCCCACTGAATCTGAGATCCTCAAGCTCAGCTTGTTGGAGACATTCACATAAATCATTGATTGCTGGACATTCTCTAGTGGAACCACCATTTTTCTCACCAGATTTAGAGATGATGTTAAAATCTCCCATCAAAATCCAAGGGTTATTGCAAACAAGTGTGGAATGGCTTATGATATCATTCCAAAGGGAGAGTCTTTCCACAGCATAATTAGAAGCATAGACAAATGAGGTATAAAAAGTGATATTCTGCCCAATGATAGTGATATAACAATGTATAGACTGCCTAGTAGTGCTAATGACATTGAGATTAATGGTGTTAGGGTTCCACATAACCCAGATTCTGCCAAGCTGGGAGAAGGAGTAATTGTGGATCAAAGGCCAGTGAGCTGCAATTCTACTATGGACAACAGCAATATTAGTGGGGGAGATCTTGGTCTCAATGATTGAGACAATATCTAACCTTTTCTTAGAAATCAGTTTCCTTATTTCAGACTGTTTAGATGGCATATTATACCCTCTTATGTTCCATGCTAGGATGGAAATCATTTAAAAAGGAATGAGGGAGAGTTTCTAGGATACCTGAGATCCTTGGGAGGATCATGGGGTATCATAACTGGGCTGCAGCTTTGATATCTTCTGGCTAACTTATTTATACTTCTGACTATACATTTCTTACTAAGAGAGGTGGAGAGAAAGTGGGGATAAGCACGACACTCTTTTGGGACCGAGCTAATATGCAATGGATCATTAACTGGTGGGGAGGGTTGTGTGGATTAGATTTTAGATGAGGAGGGTTGGTTTGGATTAGGACTGTTATGGTTTAAATAACATAGTCTCTTGCAACATAGAGGGGAGGGGTTGACCTCCTTACAGGCCTGTAGAAGCTAAGAACCTGATGGGATATGAAACTTTGGAGAGGACTTGCTAACAGGAGTTTTCGAGGATGAGGTGTAGTGTGGTGGAGAAGATGAACATGATGGAGAGACATGTGAAGATGGTGGAGTGGATTCATGGGTAAAGTTAAGAAGGAGGAGAAGTGGTTGGTGGTTTCTATAACAGTGGTCTTCTTGGGAGAGGCTTCACCTCTAGCGATCTATCTTCTTTTCTTTCTAATGGTAATCCAATCATTGGACTGATAGTTTATGCTGGCCTATTGTCCTTTAAAGAAGTGTGATCAGTGACATTCATGGGACAAAAAATTTCAGTGTGGTTAAACTTATTGCATTTACTACAGATTTTGGGAAGCCACTGGTATTCAATGGTGATTCTCTCTATGTTATTATCATCCACCATAAGATGGACCTCATTAAGGAGGGGTTTTATGAGGTCAATCTCAACACAAATTCTGACAAACTTTAGTTTGATTCTCTTTTCAGTGGCTTTGTTTGCATATAGGAGAACCCCTACTGAGCTTGTAATATGGCTGAGGCCTGTTGCAGTCCAATAATTGAAAGGAATATTGAAGAATTTAACCCATGTTGGGATCATTGAGCTGTTGCTTGGTTAAGATGGGGATTGTGTGTTCCATTTCTTCAGGTAGAAGGGATGGCCAGCAATGGACCATGGGCCATTTGATAAGACATTTTCAGCCTCATGTGTGGTATAAAATCTGAAGATATATGAACCATTTTCACCAATGATCGTATCAGTGAGACCATAAGTGTTCCAGATTTTGGCTGTTGAGGATTGGACTACTTTAAAGGGAACCCTTTTGTGAGTTGATAATCCAATGAGGTGATTTGCTTCCCAAAACTTCCTACCCTCGAGAACAACTTTCTTTGGAGGTTTAATGATGGGTTTACTGTGGTTAAAAGATGGCTGAAGGTATTCAAAATTCATTTTGCAAGGGCTGTTGGGGATAACGTCAGTCCATTTTCTAGCAGCAGTTGGATTATCAGTTGTTTGTTGTGGTAATGGTGGTGGTGGTGTAGTAGTTGGTATGATAGTTGTATAATGGGCAAAAGGTGGTAGAAGTGGTTATTGTCCAGTGCGTTTTATGTTAATCCTTGGTAGGTCAACTGGTGGTGGTGGTAATAGACCAGTGGTAACAGCTATAAGGTCATTGATGTGCTGGGCTAAAGCTGACAGAGGTAGTGGATTGACAGGTGGAGTATTGGGTGAATTTGGTTGGAAGCCTGAAATGGGTTGTAGGTCTATGTGTGGGGTTAGGTTTGGTTGAAAGTGATTTGAGTTCTTTCCTATTTTGGTAATGTTTAAGTTGGTTGGTTATGAAGTATGCAGAGGTGATGTCACAATAGCAGTTGATGTAAAATTCAAATTTGAATTTGAATTTGAATTCTGACATGGTCCTCTTGTGGTGGTTTGGTTTTCTCTGTCGGAGGAGGAGGTGGTGACCATGGTGGTTGCTGGTGGAGCTTATTGTTGTTGTTGGTTCTGTAATTTGCACTCAGCAAGCTCAGCTCTTAGCTCAAATATTATCTTTTTGAGCCTACTGTGCATTTCCTGAGCCCTCCCAAGGTTTTCATCATTCCATTCAAGTTGTTCCTGAAGCCTATCAATTTGATGGACTGGAGAGCTGTCTAAAAAGGGGTTAAAGTTCCTTGGTAGGTGAGACTTTGTTGTAGAAGTAGGAGTGGCTTGTTTCTGTGGAATAACAGTTGGTTGTGGGATGGTTTGCTTATGAGGAATGGCAGATGGTTATGGGGTTTTGTTGTTGGGTGAGTCCTGTGTAAGTATCCTTATGGGGTTGACTGTGGAAGGAGGGAAGTGGACATGGGGTTGGCTAGAGAGTGAGGAAGGAATTGGGGGGTGGTAGATATGTGTGAGTAGTGCTGTGATTTGTGGCTTCTTTAAGGTGTACTTTGGTGTTGGAGTTTTTTGCTTGGGGGTAGTTTTTTGTTGTTGAATGTTAATTGGTTTTGGGTGAGGGATTTGCTTGGTTATTGGTGTTTGTAAGTGGTTTGGAATAGATGGTTGTTGATTTACATGGAGAGATGGAAGTTTAAGGTGGTTGGCAGTGGGTTTTTGGTGAGGTGTTTTAGCTGTGGTGGGAGAAACACAAAAAAAATTTGAAAGCTTGTCTAGTTGAGGTACATTGGTGCTGGGATGTGTTGTTGTGAATGGTGGTTTGAGATGGTTCTATATGGGGTTAGACATAGAAGGAGGTTTCTGGTAATTAGTAGACGGTTGGTGGTATGGTGGGTTGAGTGTTGAGCTGTGGTGGTGAGGGGGAGGGGGTTAGAGAGCATTCTTCTTCTTCTTCATGGTTGTAGCTTTTGGATTAACATATCTAAGATGGAATAAAAGAAAATGAAGAGAAATATATATACATGCAGACTTTAATTTATTCATGTGCATAAATTAACAGAGGGGGTTTGTTGCCCCGAAAAAAAAAAAGCACAAAAAGAAGGTATTTTGCAACTTTTTTAAAATCAAAGAGGGTTTAGTGCAGTTGGGCCTATTTTTTAGGGATAAAAAAATTGTTACAAATTATTTGATAAACACACCATAATTAAATTATTTCAAAGTTTTGAAATAACAAGCATTCCTTGTATATGATTACTGAGCCACGGAATATATATATATATATATATATATATATATATATATATATATATATAAAGGAAAATGAGCACTTTTCCATTTAGGAAAAAAAAAATGAGCACTTTTCTATTTTTTTTTTAATTTATTGATCTAACAAAAAAGGGAAAGAAGAGAAAAGAAAATAAAATAATGGTAATTGGCTGTTTAATGCAGGCGAAGTGAAAGGCGGGAACGTAAAACAGACAAAATCTAAAATATTTGGGTTTGTCTCAAATTAAAGAATTAAGGCCGACTTCATAAGAGATGTGGACTATTATCTTAGGTTTGAATTCCTCTTTCCCGTAACCCTTATAACTCCTACTCCTACTCCTACTCCTACTCTCTCTCCCACTCCCAAAATACATGTCCTGCGTAGAGAATTCAACTTTTTATATTAGTGTAATTTTAATAATCAGGAATGTTATAAAAAATAATATATTTAATTTTGAAATAAGACATGTTATTTTTTTGATACATTTCAAAATGAAAATATTGACAAGTATTTTGAACGGTGGGAGCAATTATTAACTCTCAAAATATTCATTGTCTGGTCAAAAAAATAATAAGAATAATAAAGAATTAAGGCTGACTTCATAATTGGCTGCTTCTTTTGTTCACACCTAGGAAATCACTAAAACGTGAAAATCATGCTAAATGAATACAACCCACAAATAACAATTTTACCCTAGTTACGTAACAGCTGTTAACAATTTACAAAAATGACGCGTTCCCACTGATCGACCTCACACATAGTCTCTCTTTTGGACGCGTTTATCTAAGTGCATGCACATCGTAGCCTCATTGTGTAACAGAACACGTTCAATGCAATTCGTGTATTAAATTGCCATACAAGTCAAAAATTTAGACCTACCTTTCATAATTCAATCAATCTTTTCATTCCTATAAATTACTATTCTAATTATTCCTACAACATCTACTTAATTACTGAAAAATAAAAAATAAATAAATAAAAAATTGTGTTACAATATATTAGGTCTCTATTTAAAAGAGAAAAAATATATATATATTAGATACTTGATAATCTTTTTTATTAAATTTGACACGTGTGCTTAACAACACCCCTAAATATTTACCAAATTAAATAAAATAATAAATTATGACACTCTACACACCATATTACACTAAAAACTTACTCTACTATTATTTCAGGCTTGTATTCACATGGGTTTCAAATGGTATCTCTCGACTCTCTATTCAATGCCTAACGTTTTGATTACTGAATTGATTAGTAGGGTAAGGACCAACAGGTAACTGAGTATATATATATAAGTTGAAAAGATCTGTGGAGAAAGTTTGTTGAGATAATTTGAAATTAAAAATTGTGATTAGGATTTAAAAGAGTTTAGCTACCATTCTATTTTCAATATTTTATTATTTTATTTTTTTAAAAATGATTTTAATGTTCAAAAGAAACTTCACGCCTTGACAACGTAAAGTTTTATATTTTAAAATAGTTTTAGTATGTAGATAATTTAGTAATTTATAATCTCTCTTGACATTTCCTTTAAGTCCAACACACGTTTTTCAATAATATTGCATCTGAATGAATTAATTAGAAGGAGAAGAAAGAAGACCAATCTCGTGTTGTTTAAAAAATGAGAAGCATAAACGAAAAATGCACTTTTAACGATTTTTATTAAAAGCAAAATTATATACACATTTAAGAGCACAAAATATCCCCAAAAAACAGTATTAAAAAAAAAAGCTCATGATAAAATTCCAAGGCAAGAATTTAATCCACTTAGATTGCCAAAAACACACACACATATCATCATCATTTACAAAGAATGAATGAACATTAAAATGTAATTCCAATGAAAAAATAACCCACTAAATTAAACCTCGATCATATACAGAGACATTTAAATTTCTTCAGTACATATATGACTTATAATATGAACCAAAAAAAAAAGAGTCCAAAATAGACCTTCAAGCTCAACGAATAGGCCATTTGAGGGGGGAATATAGTAATTAAGAGTAGAGTACCAAACGTTTGGCACAAAGAGTACATAAAAACTTCCTCTTGATCATAAAACAGAGTGTGAATCGAAAGAAAAATCTCCATTGGGTTTCAACATCCACAGCTTGCACCTTCCCTCCACAGTATGGACACGCCCCAGGAGCTTGCTGTCTCCCCAACTCTCTCTCCTCTGCATCAAACACACGCAACGCCATATACATTTCCTTCCTTCCTTCCTTGTACTATTACTTTCTCTCTCTATATCTCTCTCACTCTGTATATATTTGTGTTTGTCTGTGTGTGTCATATATATATATTTATATATATGGTTTGTTGGGGTTTTGGGTTACGTGGATTTGAGACGTGTTGATTTTGTGCTGAATATGTTAGTCTGTTGCTAGGCCTTGAAAACGACTTTATTGATAAGATTTTACCAGGGTTGTAATAAACAAGACAAGTGTAGTCGGCGTACGCCCAATGTTTTGGAATAGATAATAAACAGGCTTCCGTCTAACTTACGCGGTCGGCGCATCGGCCCTCATACTCTACTAATTTGCGCACATGAAATTACAATTTATCGTTTCTTTTCGGGGATTGGATAATACTCTCATCCATTCCGACAGCGCCACTCATTACCGACTTTGTTGGAAACGAATTTAAATGATTTAAGTTAGGTTTTGAGAAGACATTTCACATTAAAACAGTATAATATTATTGGTTTTACTTTAGGACAAATACTCATCACTGGTTTCAAAAAATAAAAATACACTTTATTTTTAAATTTTTGTGTAAGATTGTACCTAATATTAGAAGGTGTTGTTGTAATTTATTTTAAAATTTTAATAAAATTATGACACCGGCTACTTTTGTTTTTTTCTTTTCCCTAACTTCAAATTCTTTGGAGCATTACATTTTGTTTTACTTTTTTTTTTTTTTTTTTTTTTTTTCTAACTTTAAATTTTTTGGCGTATAACATTAACACATTGAATGTTACGGTAACACACCTAATTAATCGGTTGTCTCACAACACTTCTTTGCAAGACACCGACTTCTCAATTATAATTAAGTTTTTATTTTCTAAAAAAGAATAAATAGATAAAATATCAGAGTTTTAAAAGGATATGGTAGAAAAGTGGAGAAAAACTTAAGAGTAAATCTTTTAATGTTCACCACTTAAGTATGAATTAAATATATCGAAGGATGAATTAAATTATAGGGCCACTTTTAATCCATACTATTGGGCTTTTGTGTTGCTAAGGAATTTTGAGTCCGCAAGTGGCTCTTTGAGATCTGACTCATATCAGTAGGGATATTTAATTTAAACAGTTAACCTCTTAAGTGGAGTGACTCATACCTTTTATATATATCAATTAATATGGGACTTTGTTGGAGACAAATTTAAATGATATAAGTTAGGTTTTGAGAAGACATTTCACACTAAAATCGTATAATATTGGTTTTACTTTATACTCATCACTAATTTAAAAAATAAAAATACACTTTATCTTTGAATTTCCGTGTGAGATTGTACCTAATCTCTCATGTGGTGTCATTTTAATTTATTTTTAAATTTCAATAAAATTATGACACCCGATGCTCTTGTTTTCTTTTTGAGTTAACTTCAGTTACACCCCCTAAGATATGTCCTACTTTCAAGGAGACCCCCTCACATTTACAAAATTTCAATCAGACCCCCTACTTTTTCTGACACACATTTGTCTCCCCTCTTAGTCAACGATCAAAGTTGGTCAGAGATACTTTTTGCCGACGTCAGCAAAAAATGAGCTTTTAATGCCCAGATTGCCCCTAAACGGTTCTGTTTGTTTACAAACATTAACGGTTATGTTTGGCTTCAGGTTATAAGGCAATTAAAATGCCCAGATTGCCCACAAAGTCCATGTTAATGCCCAAATTGCCCCTCAACTCCAACGGTCATGTTTGGCTTCTATAAATAGGAGATAGACACAATGTTTTTTTGCACTTCCTCTCTTATATTCTCCTATGTAAAGTGCCTCTCTTCCTCTCTTATATTCTCCTATGTAAAGTGATATCTCAATCAAGCGTAAATAGTCGTGAAGGTCGAGGCAAAGGCTATATACAGTATAGGAACAAGATTTGTCGTTGTGGGGATTTTGCTATAGTGAAGGTTACAGAAAATGACAAAAATCGCAACAAAGGAAGGCTATATTATACTTGTGAAAATGAAACATGCAGTTTTTAGGAATGGTGTAACCCTATAGATGGTTCTGTTGGTGCTGCTGTTGTTGGTGCTGCTGAGGAGTATTCACCTGCAAATCAACTTTGGCTTGAGGTTGTTACTGAATTGAGGTTGCAGAGACAAGCTATAGGTTCAAGGTTACAAGTTGTTGAAACAACTATTTTGTATTTTAAGATAGTTGTATTTGCTTGCTTCTTGTTATTTATTTTTGCTATTTATTTGAAATAAAATTATGCAATGAATATTGACCTATATTGAGTACAAGCATCATCAATCTATTATCATTGCACATGCATATACAACCACAAATAAAGCATCATCTATTACTGAGAAACCACAAAAAAAAAAAAAAAAAAAAAAAAAAAAAAAAAACAAACAAACAAACATAACCATTGTCAACCATAAGTTACAAGTTTCAAACAAAGTAGGTCATAAAAAAATCCTCACTGTTGTATGGTGAATAAAACCCAAAGGAGCCTCCAACTGCTAGTTACCCTTTCTAAAACCAACTCACTGTTGTGTTTCTTTCCTTGGTACTGCTGCTTTTGTTACTCTTTTTGTAATTGAATATTAGGATTAGAATACTAATGCAACAATAAATTAATATGTATAAGGATAAATATTAGGTAATTTATTGCTTATCCATGGTGGAGGATTAACACCAATACCACTCTCACTTAGCTGTCTTCCATCTCTGATGCCACTCTGGTTTGGCTGTCTTCCAACTCTGCTACCACTCACATTTTGTTGAGAACCACCACCAATGCCACTCACATTTGGTTGAGAAGCTCCTCTTGCACGTACATTTCTTCCACCTCTAGCACTTACATTTCTTCCACCTCTCCGAGCAATTTGGGATTGGAAAAAATTTAAACAAAAAAAATTAGCTAAGGACTTATAAGTAAGGATTAAAAAATTAGCTAAGGACTTATAAGTAAGTATTGGGTAATCATAGAATTAAAAAATTGTTATAGTGAACATAAGTAAGGACTTATACTTGTTGTGTAACACCAGAAGTTCCTGCTCCTTCTGATCCTTGAGTTTGGACCTTATGTTTTCTTAAATTAACAATTAGAAGGTATATAAATCAGTAATAAAAGAAATTTATCAAAACATAGCAAGTTTAAAATTGACTGAAACACTCACTGCTGTTGTTTGAGCTCTTCCTCTTGCACTTGCAGCCCTCCCTCTTGCTACTGCAGCTCTTTCTCTTGCTGTTTGAGCTCTCTGGCAAGTTCTCCTATTATGACCAGTTTGTAGGCAATACTTACATGTCACAATTGATGATCTTTTAGGTACTCCTCTTGCACTTGCAGGGGCAGGTTCACCTTGTTCGCTTCTTCTATTTTTTCTTGGTCTACCAGGTAATCTTCTTAGTTTAGGAGGGTATAAGTCAATTGATGGAGTTTTTGGCCACATCTTCTCATCCATCAAAGGATGAATCATCCTACTGTGGGCAAGTAGATATGTATCCTTGCTGTAACAAGGATCACAAAAATGCTTAGGGTCCTGCCTATTCCATGAAATAGCACCAATTGCATGCCTGCAAGGTATCCCTGATATCTGTCATGCTCTACATGAGCAAGTCCTCAAGTTTAAATTAACCACACTTACTCCCACCACTTCATGAACTTCAAACTCCTCCCTCCCAGCAGGACAAACTCTACACCCTCTTGATTCTTGAATGGATTTGTTTAATTTTTTCAAGGCATTTGGTGTCAAATTTCCCTTCCAAGCTAAAGCTTTCTGATACCTTTTCTGGATTCTCACCATTAATTTAATCCTAATCCACTCAAGCATATTCAAGATTGGCTTAGACCTATAATGACCAACCCAGTTGTTGAAGGATTCAGTCAAATTATTTGTGATATGGTCACTCTTTGATGTCTCACCATACCCCACCCTAGACCATATTTCCAAAGGCCTGTCCATTAGCCAATCATGAGTTTCTGTACAAATCCCATTCATGTGATTCATTGCATCATTAAATTCAAGTTCATTATATGATCTTGCAGCTTTCCAGAAAAAAAATTTCAACAACCTAGAATTATCCTTCCTAAAACTGTTAAATAAGTGCTTACAACAAATCATATGGCTTGCCTCAGGAAATAAGTTAGAAATTGCAACCTCAATACCCTGAAATGCAAAATAAAATAAATTACAAGTAATTATGAACAATTTAATAATGAACTATGTAATACTGAACAGTTAAAGAAAAAAATTATACCTTTTGCATATCAGACATAATTGTCCAATGTCTGGCATGTGCATCTGCACCAAGAATATCCTTCAAATTATCTAAGAAAAAAGTTCATGTCTCCTTCCTTTCACTTTCTACCACAGCATAGGCAATGGGGAATAGACCATTATTGTCATCCAAGGCCACAGCTGACAAAAGCACTCTATCATGTCGGCCCTTTAAAAAACAGCCATCTAACCCAATGAATGGCCTACAGCCTTTTATAAACCCAGACCTCAAAACATCAAAAGCAATGAAAATCCTTCTGAATCTATTCACTCCATTGAATTCAGCATCATAATAATCAAGTGTGACCAAACTGCCAGGGTTTGTCCTCATAATTTCATTCCTATAGGAGGGCAGCAAACTGTATGACTTCCCATGGTTACCCTTAAACACATCCAATGCCTTTTTTTTTGCCCTATAGCATTGTTGTTTCTTTGCCCTAATGCCATATTTTTCATGCAGTGCAGTTCTCAGACTTTCAACTGCCATTTGTGGGTTTTGCTTGAGTTTCTTAAAAAACTTCTTTGCAATCCATATAGAATTGGCTAATGGATTTTTATCACCCCTCACACAAGAATGATTGTCATTGTATGTTTTTATCATGTAAGTCTTACAAGGCAGTGGGGAGGCATGGATCCTCCATGGACAACCTTTGGCTTTGCAAACACAAGTTACCCTTGAACTCTCATTTTTTATCTTTCTAATTTGAAACCCTTCTTGGATTGTATAATATGTCAACACCTCTCTAAAATGTTTCACATTTTCAAACAATAAATATTGTTCTAGTTTTATAGGTTGTCCTTTAACCTTTACATATTCCTTCCCTTTAATATTTTTATCCCAATCCTTGCTCTTTGATCTATTTCTCTTTGGATATTCCACACCAATCTCTACACTTGAATCAGAATGTGCTTCATCATTTAACTCATAATCTGACGGGCCACCCTCACAATCCACATTGTAGTCTTCATCATTGTAGTCTTCATCATTGTCTTGAAACCCTACATACTTATCATCTGAGCTATCACTGTTAGTTTCAACATAATCAGTATCACCTTCTGCCATCCAATCTTGATTCTCTTTCCTAAAATCATACACATCATCTTTCTCCACATCACTATCCTCTTCCTCATTGTTTTCATCACCCACTTCCTCATCACTATCCTCTTCCTCTCCCTCACTATTTTCAGCATCCACTCCATAATCCATATCCTCATAAGGGTCATCCATATCAGTTGATATATTTAAGGGTTCAACTTCTTTTATCTCAACATACACATTAATGTTAATTCTTTCACTATTTAAGTATAACATGTCCAACAAATCAGCTTCATTCTCAACCAACATCTTAGAATAAGAACCACTACAAGAAATTTGGTTTTAGGGACAGTCCATTCTGTCCCTAAAAGCCCTAAGACCTTCCCTAATGATCGAATTCGACCGTCCCTAATAGTTGTGTCCCAATAGATTTTTAGGGACGGAAAAAATTGTCCGTCCCTAAAAAAGTCAACCTTTAGGGACAAACTAACTGTCCCAAAAGGACCGTCCCCCTTTAACTTATTAGGGACGGATTTACTGTCCCAAATAAGACTGTCCCCCTTTGATTTATTAGGTACGGGCTTACTGTCTCAAATAGGACCGTCCCCTTTGATTTATTAGGGACGGTATTTACTGTCCCTAATAGTTAATATATTAAGGACGGACAAGTCTGTCCCTAATACAATTTTTATTGTCCCTAATAGGATTTTATTATTATTATTATTATTATTATTATTAAATTTGTGACATTTATAAACTATCCATAATACTTTATTATTATTATTATTATTATTATTTCTCTGTTGGATTTGTGTTCTAGAGAAACTACTAAACTACATCCACCTTATATATCAAAATATCGGAACTAAAAAGTACATACATCCACAATATCATTCTAGAAAGAAAAAAATAGATTATCACCACAATACAGTGCTAACAAACGAGCTCTTAATCTCATGAAGAAGCTACAAATTCTCCAATTTTGTAAACAAGAACTAAAAGTATCTACTAGCTGCTTTAACATCAAATGGTTCCAAACATCCTCAAAAGTTAAAACATCATTTTAAACTGAATGCAATCATGAAATGTTATTGCTGCTGCTCAAGGAGCTGTTGTTGCTACTCAAGTAGCTTCTGAATTATATCCAACTTCTCCTCCAAACCAAAGGTGCTTCCAATGCTTAGCGGATATATTCTGGACCGGAATCATATCACAAAGGATAAACTGAGCTGAGCTCTCTATCTCCAGTACATCAGAGCAACACATACATAAAACATTAACCATCAACAAACATCATTTTCCTTATGACATGTGAATAACGAGGTGATGCTGTTGCATAAATAATTTCATCATTTACTAGAAATGCTTTATTAACCATTAGCCTTAACATGATAATGAAGGACGAACTAGTTGTGAGGAAATAAACTTACCGAAACCGATGAGTAAACATTCTTAAGCTGTTTAGTTATAGAAGTGCACGCATCAGATAAGCTGCGCCTTGTAGCAAACATCATATCAGGAAGTTTCCAACCCTAAAACAAGAAACAAGTGCACAAACCATTATATTAGCTAACTGCAAAGGAAAGAGTTATAAGAAGGAAAAACAGTAAATATATATATATATATATATATATATATATATATATATTTTATGTACCTATAAAATACCAAGTAACAAATGAGAACACAATGTTACTAGCTGCACCTAGGCCTGTCAAACAACCCTCTAAACTCTAAGATTGGCCCAAACAAAGTCTTGAAGTCAAGAACTAGTTCAATGATCTCTTTTTCTTTTTCTTTTTTTTTTTCCTTTTTCTTTTCGTTTTTTGTCTGGCAAATAATACAATTACCTTTTTGGCAGAGAGCTAACAACTGAAAGATAATTCAATACCACTAAAACCTGCACCAATTCTTGAGCCCTGAAGCAAAGCTTAGTTCCCTATTTAATAGCATTGTAGTATAGAAACTCTAGAGCAATCTCACTTCCCTGCTCACACCCAAAGGTCCTGAGCCTTAACAATCCTTTATTTCTCTACTCTCCATTTTTATCCCGTCTCTTCCTCACATCTCTATAAACCTTCAGAAACCCTCATATTTCTCTTTCACGTTGATGTTTGCATAATGTAAGATAATATGATTTGGCTACAAGTTTTTCCTTTTACAAATGCTACCATATTTTTCCTATGCTGCTAGTGTAGTCGGCTTCACTATCAGTACACTCAAAAGTCCTAGTAGTGGTTTTAAATCAGCACATACAAGTCCTAGTACTACAGTAGCAGCATGATAATCAGTAACAAGACTCGTAATCTTACAAAGTACCGCTACCAAAACTAAAGTGACAATGCAAATATCATTTCTACTACTACTGGTTCAGTAATTAGCAGTGACAAAGTTCTACTAATAGTACTACTCTTCATAAAAATAACAGTGGCAGAATCAACTATAAGATAGATAACTTACGCTTTCTGAAAATTTTGGGCTGGGAATCCCTGCAGCTAAAGATCTGAACAGCGGGGTTACTTAAAGAGGGGAACTAAATTCTATATGTGAGAAGGCAGAAAAAACTTGGTCAATGGTTTTAGATCAACAAATAAAAAATTTCTGTAGGATCCTAGCAAACACATGATGAAAAAATAAATCCTTATTATATAATAAAAGATAATTACCTTGATTTGTGGTTTCACTAGAGAGAATTCTGCTTTCACATTCATTGACACCAACTCTCTCTCCTGTGGGAATGGATTGTAACTCGACTCCAATGTCCTGATGCAGTGGACATTCACCAAAATTAATTTGCTCTCCTATGTGAATGGATTGTTCAACTCCAATATCCTGATGCAGGGCACACAACTCATGTTGACTTTGTTCTATTCTATCACCTGTCGTATTAGACAGGAGAGTTGATCCTGTACTGTACTCAGAACTGCATGGGGACTCATGTGAAGCAGGTTGCCTATGATAAACATCAATCAATTGAAATCTTATAAAGGCACAATAAGGAATACAAAAAAACAAATTGAAACACTTTTAAAAGATAATTTGACACTTCATCAGGTGCTTCGGTTTCTGCAACTTCAACATGTGTTTCTCCGGTGCTGGCAAAATTTCAACCAAAAATCACGAAAAACCATAAATAAATAAATAAAAGTATAAATAAGCAAGTACTAATCAATTTTTAATTTTAATATAGATTCTGATTGTGCATGTAAGAAGCAAATTTTGTTTTCTTTTCCTTTCCGACATAATTTGCCAACTTACAAAAATATTTTAATATAAATGAGCAAGTACTAATCAAGTACTTTCTGACATGCAGGATGAGACAACAATGTGACAAACATATTAACAGGATTCACAAGAATACTACAAAAATCAGTAATAACTACCAATGAATTTAACATATTATCTTACACCAATATACTTAATCTAAAATCAAAAGCATGAAAGGCAAACCAAATCTTGCCTCCACCACTGTCAAAAGGCTATTATCCTATTACCTAGTGCGAGCCCTACTAGCGTCGGGTGCTACTAAGGAATATAAAGAAGACCTAACCTTTAACATTATTTTGTATTTTCATTTTTTTTTTTCAAAGCATTGTTTTGTATAGATTAACCGTTGTAGACTCAAACTCAAGTCCTCTCACTTTGATTCCACCCCTCTAAAATACGAAGTTTATAACCACATATAAATTGCTCAGATATTGAAGCAACCCATATTTGATTTCTTTTAATTTCAAATCTCGATGACAAAAAAATGGCATCTAGCCAGCACCAATGACATTGTAATAAAAAATATAAAATGAACTCTGAAATTGACAAAAAATAAAAAAATAAAAAAAAAAGTAATTTCACCTCTTTTTATATAATTCTGTTGGTAGTTCCGCATCGAGAGAGTATCATTTTATAATTTTTTTATTTTTTAGCCCTCAACAAATTGGAATATTATTATTTTTTTTTTTTTGTTTTTAAAAGTATCTACCCAAGGAACATAGGTTATTTCCAAAAAGACTATCTAGCAAACAATTTTATTTTTTTTATTTTTTCACTATTTTTCTCTGTTTCCTAAACAAGCAAACAGAGAATAAAGATGGTATGAATTGATTTCCTTTATTCTCCTTGACTCAAGAAAATAATACCTAGAACAACCCACGCATCAAATCTCATACATCTACACCATATCAAAATAATTTATAAAAATAACACCTAGAACAACCCACACATCTGCACTTTCATACACACATATGCTCATACATGAAAAATAATATCTAAAATACCCAAACTCTGCCACACATCTACAACATAAGATCTCATACACCAACACCATACCAAAGTAGATTAAAAAAAAGAAAATTAAGGACCAAAATCAATAAACTAAAATACTCTCAGAGTGTGTGCTTGTGTGTGATATAAATATGTAAATATATATATATATATATATATATAGATAAATAAATACCTGGTAAAGGATTGCCTCTGAGTGAGAGATTGAAGCGAGTGAGAGTGAGATATTGGGGCTTCAATCGAAAGGGAAAAAAAAAAAGAAGCGAAATTGGACTTCGATCTGATATCCTTTTTGCAACATAATAATGAACTTTAAATTTCAACACTGAGACAAATTAAGAATTCCATTGTAAATCCCTAATACTCAAATGGAAACTCAGAAAATTTTCAAAACAATCCGTGCTAACATTCATCTAACACGTAAAATTATATAAAAAAATTCTAACTTCCAACCAAAGAAACCAACATGAATCCCAAGAAACTCTACCTGAGATGTGAGATGACCATCGGAGAGACCGATCAATGAATCAGATCTCACTTCTGAGTTGACCCGACGGGTGGGGCACCGAGTAGACTCTCTTGCTGCAACTAGAGCTCATAGAGCTGCTGTTCACGGTCCATCTCAATGATGAGTAGCAAGAAGAGGATGAGGTACGTCGTGCCGACGATCCAAGCGGCCTTTCCGGTGCTCTTCACCGGGAGTTTGGTCACGTAGGCTGCGTCCGCCGTCGCTCGTTTGTTGTGGTGTACAATCAGCGACCGCGAGACGGCGGTCGAAACCCTAGATACGATCATTTCGCCATCGCAGGTGAGAGAGAATCGTTTGCCCCCTGAGGTGCCATGAGAGAGAGTGTGTGTGTGTGTGTGTGTGTGTTAGGGCTAGATATTCGACTTGAAAGAGAGCAGAGATGTATATACTTAATAGTCAAAAACTACGTCGTTTATGAAGGTAGCATTTACTAGTAGCGAATCATGGATGGTAAATTTACCGTCCCCAAAAGCCTTTTCAAATTTTTTTTATTACAAAAAAT